ATTAAAAAACGAAGCAAAGGAATTAAATAAAGGCTAAAATATAAATAACTGCTTTATTCAAATGATTTATATATTTATATATAGTATTTTAAAATTTTGAAGAATAATATATATTTTAGACATAAAGATTTCCAAATTTTTGTCACACAAATATTTGCGCGATGGATTAAAAAATAAATGCTCCAGAAATTACATACCACGTACAATTTGTAACATTTTCTGTCACAAAAATGCAAAAAATAAAATCGAAAATATGAAATTCTACTCACCTCGTAGAAGTAAAATGAGTCAATCTCCTCCGTCGTATTGACATCAGCCAGCGATGTGACGTTGATGTAATCCGGTATGGGGTAGAGTTCGTCGGTGACGTTCCCTAATTCTTCGACGCGCCCCAGATTGAAACCGGCCGTCAGATTCCAATCGTCGGTCCGCGCTCGGTTCGCGTTCCCGGACATGATTGTTCTGATCGACAATATCCACACGACCCGCTGCTCAGGTTTTTGCTCCACGAGCTTCCCGTGAAAGGGTCATGTCGTCGGTTGAATGTTGGCCGATCTTGTGTTTGAGGAGACAACTCTCGCAACGACTTGAGTTTGACTTTTGTTAGTTATCCTGCGACACGAAGCATTTAGCAGAGTGCAGGAAGGTCCATGGTGATGTCTTGTTTCTGATCTTCCGTGACTCACTCGTTGCGCTAGGAATATTTGAAGGAGTAATTGAACGACTCAGTCCGAGCATGTTCGAAACGGGAAGAAATACGAGTGTGTTCCCGCACGGATATCATCGTTACACATAATGCGCGTGCCGGTTAGACGAGAATTATGGTCTCTCAGCAGCACGAAATTGAATATCACTTGTTTATGATTGCATTCACTAATATTGAGTTCTTAAGAAAACAGTTCGTTTCCTTTTGCATGAAGAATGCATCCAATGATCGTCCAAGTGAGCCGGAACTTTATCTGCTTGTAAAAAAATTGCATTCGATATAAAGATCCATTTAGAAAAATATACAAAAAATATCATAGAATATTTCTAATCATAAATACCTAATAATCTAATTTAACTTTACGTCAAATTAATGATGCTGCATTTTATTTAACTATCTTATACGTATTTGTTTAACTAAATTTTATTTTTAAGAACAACGTGTAAAATACATTTTAACATATTGATTATCACGCGTCATTCATATATGACACCAAATTTTTGTAAGAAGGTTCGTTATTTAATGATATTTTATTGCAAAAAAGAAAGTATGTAAATTGTGAAAGGAAATGTGTTTGGATGCAATAAGTTTTACAAGAAATTGAGTGTCATTCATATGCGAGTGACATTAATAACAGTCAATGTGCTAAGAGATAATGTAACTCGTTGAATTTTTACAGTTGAAATTGTAAGAAAAATATGTGCTTATCGATTACATGATCTCAATCTTAAAATAATATTGCACAGCAATAAAAATAATATAATTGTAAAATCGACCATTAAGAGATATTAATCACGAATAATGAAAATATCATTGTTCAAAAAAAGAAGTCAGAAAAAAATAAATTAGGAAGCACTGATTTACAAGATTTCTATTTCTCAACATCTTATGTATTTTTAGCTGCTGAAAAAGAATGTGAGATTAAAAAAGTTCCATCACCTTTAGATTTTGAAAAATCAAGGCCTTTATTTTTATAAAAAGATTTCACAAAATTAAACAACTTTTTTCTTTTATTTCACGAAGTAAAATACGTAAGAATTTCCACTTAGGATATTGAGAAACAAAATTTTTGTAAATCAGTGTAATTTTTTTGTATTAAATATTACTACCAAATTTTTATTATTTTAACTTAAAATT